CAAGCTGTAACTTCCTTTTTATGTTCACTTTGTATTTGTATTTGATGTAATATGTACAAACATATTATTTAAATAATGTCTATATCGATGACGTCACATCCTTCATTTCAATATGTAATATATGTTGTATTGGAGCGTTGTTAACATAAGCTGTAAAGCTTGTTCACCAATCCCAACTCATTTCAATGAATACAAATGTGTTTAAACCAGGTCGATTGATCTCTGTGGGCCATTAATTCTGTCAATATTATTAATTCTACTTCTCATTGTGATGATTTACTTGATTTCATTCATTGTTTGTTTATGGGATAACGATGTGGCGTCTGCGCGCGCATGCTGCATCTTCGGGATAGTGGTATGTTGGGCGCTGGAAGAGGTCACCGTACAGTGGCCAATACGTTCAGTGTTTCGCAGTTTGTGATCAGCAGACTTTGGAGCAGTTCCAACAAACCAAACATGTTGACGATTGACCCCGCTGTGTCCAGGTCAACAACAAGAGTACAGGATCGATTGATTCGAAACTACGCTCTACGAAATCGAGCTCGAACAGCTAATCAAATTACTGCAAACTTTCGTCAGGGTATTGGCGTACGAGTTACGGGTCAAACAGGACCGCGTCCGTGGTCTAGTGGTAGAGCGTCCGCCTGGAGAGCGGGCCCCGGCCGCGCCATACCAAAAGACATTAAAAGATGGTACTTGTTGTTACCCTGTCTGGCGCTCGGCATTAAGGGGCTTAAACAAGGACTGGTTAGCTCCGAATCAGTATACTGTGTCTGAGTAGGGTATTCGTGTTAAACTGCGGCATAGTATCTCAGTGAGCTAGCACTATAAATCGGCTACACTCCGGACTAGTACAAGCTGCCACGCAAACACACACACGTACACGCAGGTCGCTGTATAAAGTGCAATAATCTTTGCCGCGACGTTAAACCCCATTTCACCTCACCTTACGGGTCAAACGACCACATGCATCTCATCGCCATGCTGGACGACCACGTGATATGCCGCCCTATACAAATCGTCATATTGCTAACAGACGACAAAGGTGATTTGCAGTTTTAGAAAAGAAACGTTTTCGTGAATAATATTGTTTAAAAAAATCCTTTTGGATTGCACTGCGGATTTTTATATTACTTTTTAAAGCTTTTTGTTTTCCCCTTTCTGAGTACGCGATCTCCTAGCAACCACGCCCCATGAGCGCACCCGACTTTGGTTGCTGCTTACAACTGTCAAGAACTTTGCAAGTTCTCTTGTCTTTAATATGAGCAGCAAAACATTTTCATGTGACGCTTAATTTGACGGAGAGTTGTTCGAAAGGATCAGGGAGCCTTTGGTCATTTCCATTTTGACATTTGTGACTTCATTGTGGAGAAAGTTCCAATTCAAGATGACATGATTTCGACCGTCAACTCGAATCGTCAAGATGGCGCCTCTCTTCCCGCCCTTGCAAGATCAACAGAAACTTTGACACATTCAGTGCAGATTCTTGGGATAAGTGAATCAGTGTCACAGCGAGATTTTACTGTGGAACCAGATGAAGCCGAATATTTATGTTCACACTTCTTTTGTCAACCATGCGTGACACAGCACATGCAATCGCAGTTGGGGAATGGTGCGGCCACCATTTTGCAGAAAATATGTGATTAAAGTTGTCTTGGAATATGTGTTTTGGAGTTGTCGTTGATCGTAAGTACAATATTATCTAGATACGCCTAAAGTGGGTCAAAACATCTAGTATATTTCATTACATATCTGTCAGTTCCTTATGTGCATTGTTATGTTGATACACGTGACATAATCATATATTGTAGTCAAACTAAGAAATAGTGGCGCTTCAAATTAGGCCCCTTCCTAAACACTAGTTGAGAAATCGGTGTAATTTTGTAAGTTTTATAAATATAATCTGAATGCAAATGACCAAAACAAAAGACATATCCGTAATTTTCGGATTGAACTGAAAGAATCGTGTCGTCAATTTCGTATTTATGTATCGTTACTGTTACATTACCGAAACTGTTTTTCTGCTGCTGTTCTGTCGTAAAAACATACAATACTTTTTGACCACAAATGCATTGACCATGTGCTTTGCTATTAATAGCGCAACCGTAAATAAGCTCCGCCTACTGTGATTGATGCAGACGCCAAACACGATCGATTAGCTTTTTTATGATAAAACTACAGAAGGTGTATTGACTTAGTTCTAGATAGGGAGCCATTTGTGGTATCCAGGGTTTGTCATTTAAGTTGACGGTCAATGGTGATCTTGTTCCCGTATGGTTTTCAAAAAGCCTCTCCCGACACTCGGTTGTGTTTACATTGTCTGTCACCGTTAGAAACTGAAACACCGCCACCTTGCGGGCTATTTTATAGTCAGGGTGGGGCTTTAGAATATGTATGAAAATGTCAAAGCTATTGTGAGAGTGGGAAATATGACCATGTGTCTTCTCAGTGAAGGTGTAATGACGACAAATGTCTATTAAACGGTTACGATCTGCATGATGTGGTCTGGCATTGCCATTTTGCAGTCCACATTTTCTGCCGATAATTCTAGCGAATGGACGCAAATTGTCGTCAACATATTGCTGGCCAGCTAAATGTTCATTCACAATAACCAATTAGCTGTTACAGTGGTTTATTAGTGAAAAGTAAATGGTTTAATTATAAGCATTGCTTTATAACTAACTAAAAAATGCATTGTCTGGCTGTACAATGTCAACCTATTTCTTAGTGAGATAGTGAGTACGTTTGGTTTAACGCAGCTTTGAACACTATATCAGATTTATCATGGCGAGTTAGCTTGATGTGTGAAGAAAGCCCGACAGTTACTGTCACGGCGCTGACAAAACTAGAAAACCAGTCAAGGCGACCCTGGGATTCAAACCAACGACAGCAGCTTTCTAATTAGCTGATTAGACCACTGATCCAACCACGTCTTAGGTTTATTTTGCTGTGGAAAATACTAATTTGATGACGTGTTTGTTTCTCATATACCAAATTATACATGCATTTCCATAACAAATCCAGGTATACAACACATATGTACAACAAAATCTTTCAGTGTTCATTGGTTTTATTTCATTGACTATTGATTATTTCTTCCCTGACCTTCTGGACCTCCGGGACCTCCGGGACCTTGTCTTCCCTGACCTTCTGGACCTCCGGGACCTCCGGGACCTTGTCTTCCCTGACCTCCGGGACCTCCGGGACCTTGTCTTCCCTGACCTTCTGGACCTCCGGGACCTCCGGGACCTTGTCTTCCCTGACCTTCTTGACCTCCGGGACCTCCGGGACCTTGTCTTCCCTGACCTTCTGGACCTCCGGGACCTCCGGGACCTTGTCTTCCCTGACCTTCTGGACCTCCGGGACCCCCGGGACCTTGTCTCCCCTGACCTTCTGGACCTCCGGGACCTTGTCTTCCCTGACCTTCTGGACCTCCGGGACCTCCGGGACCTTGTCTTCCCTGACCTTCTGGACCTCCGGGACCTCCGGGACCTTGTCTTCCCTGACCTTCTGGACCTCCGGGACCTCCGGGACCTTGTCTTCCCTGACCTTCTGGACCTCCGGGACCTCCGGGACCTTGTCTTCCCTGACCTTCTGGACCTCCGGGACCCCCGGGACCTTGTCTCCCCTGACCTTCTGGACCTCCGGGACCTTGTCTTCCCTGACCTTCTTGACCTCCGGGACCTCCGGGACCTTGTCTTCCCTGACCTTCTGGACCTCCGGGACCTCCGGGACCTTGTCTTCCCTGACCTTCTGGACCTCCGGGACCCCCGGGACCTTGTCTCCCCTGACCTTCTGGACCTCCGGGACCTTGTCTTCCCTGACCTTCTGGACCTCCGGGACCTCCGGGACCTTGTCTTCCCTGACCTTCTGGACCTCCGGAACCTCCGGGACCTTGTCTTCCCTGACCTTCTGGACCTCCGGGACCCCCGGGACCTTGTCTCCCCTGACCTTCTGGACCTCCGGGACCTTGTCTTCCCTGACCTTCTGGACCTCCGGGACCTCCGGGACCTTGTCTTCCCTGACCTTCTGGACCTCCGGGACCTCCGGGACCTTGTCTTCCCTGACCTTCTGGACCTCCGGGACCTCCGGGACCTTGTCTTCCCTGACCTTCTGGACCTCCGGGACCTCCGGGACCTTGTCTTCCCTGACCTTCTGGACCTCCGGGACCTCCGGGACCTTGTCTTCCCTGACCTTCTACACCCCCGGGACATCCAGGGCCTTCATTTTCTTGACCTCCGGGACCTCCGGGACCTTGTCTTCCCTGACCTTCTGGACCTCCGGGACCTCCGGGACCTTGTCTTCCCTGACCTTCTGGACCTCCGGGACCTCCGGGACCTTGTCTTCCCTGACCTTCTTGACCTCCGGGACCTCCGGGTCCTTGTCTTCCCTGACCTTCTGGACCTCCGGGACCTCCGGGACCTCCGGGACCTTGTCTTCCCTGACCTTCTGGACCTCCGGGACCTCCGGGACCTTGTCTTCCCTGACCTTCTGGACCTCCGGGACCTCCGGGACCTTGTCTTCCCTGACCTCCGGGACCTCCGGGACCTCCTGGACCTTGTCTTCCCTGACCTTCTGGACCTCCGGGACCCCCGGGACCTTGTCTCCCCTGACCTTCTGGACCTCCGGGACCTTGTCTTCCCTGACCTTCTTGACCTCCGGGACCTCCGGGACCTTGTCTTCCCTGACCTTCTTGACCTCCGGGACCTCCGGGACCTTGTCTTCCCTGACCTCCGGGACCTCCGGGACCTCCGGGACCTTGTCTTCCCTGACCTCCGGGACCTCCGGGACCTTGTCTTCCCGGACCTCCGGGACCTCCGGGACCTTGTCTTCCCTGACCTTCTGGACCTCCGGGACCTTGTCTTCCCTGACCTTCTGGACCTCCGGGACCTCCGGGACCTTGTCTTCCCTGACCTTCTGGACCTCCGGGACCTCCGGGACCTTGTCTTCCCTGACCTTCTGGACCTCCGGGACCTCCGGGACCTTGTCTTCCCTGACCTTCAGGACCTCCGGGACCTCCGGGACCTTGTCTTCCCTGACATCCGGGACCTCCGGGACCTTGTCTTCCCGGACCTCCGGGACCTCCGGGACCTTGTCTTCCCTGACCTTCTGGACCTCCGGGACCTTGTCTTCCCTGACCTTCAGGACCTCCGGGACCTCCGGGACCTTGTCTTCCCTGACCTTCTGGACCTCCGGGACCTCCGGGACCTTGTCTTCCCTGACCTTCTGGACCTCCGGGACCTCCGGGACCTTGTCTTCCCTGACCTTCTGGACCTCCGGGACCTCCGGGACCTTGTCTTCCCTGACCTCCGGGACCTCCGGGACCTTGTCTTCCCGGACCTCCGGGACCTCCGGGACCTTGTCTTCCCTGACCTTCTGGACCTCCGGGACCTTGTCTTCCCTGACCTTCTGGACCTCCGGGACCTCCGGGACCTTGTCTTCCCTGACCTTCTGGACCTCCGGGACCTCCGGGACCTTGTCTTCCCTGACCTCCGGGACCTCCGGGACCTTGTCTTCCCGGACCTCCGGGACCTCCGGGACCTTGTCTTCCCTGACCTCCGGGACCTCCGGGACCTTGTCTTCCCTGACCTTCTGGACCTCCGGGACCTCCGGGACCTTGTCTTCCCTGACCTTCTGGACCTCCGGGACCTCCGGGACCTTGTCTTCCCTGACCTTCTGGACCTCCGGGACCTCCGGGACCTTGTCTTCCCTGACCTTCTGGACCTCCGGGACCTCCGGGACCTTGTCTTCCCTGACCTCCGGGACCTCCGGGACCTTGTCTTCCCGGACCTCCGGGACCTCCGGGACCTTGTCTTCCCTGACCTTCAGGACCTCCGGGACCTCCGGGACCTTGTCTTCCCTGACCTTCTGGACCTCCGGGACCTCCGGGACCTTGTCTTCCCTGACCTTCTGGACCTCCGGGACCTCCGGGACCTTGTCTTCCCTGACCTTCTGGACCTCCGGGACCTCCGGGACCTTGTCTTCCCTGACCTTCTGGACCTCCGGGACCTCCGGGACCTTGTCTTCCCTGACCTTCAGGACCTCCGGGACCTCCGGGACCTTGTCTTCCCTGACCTTCTGGACCTCCGGGACCTCCGGGACCTTGTCTTCCCTGACCTTCTGGACCTCCGGGACCTCCGGGACCTTGTCTTCCCTGACCTTCTGGACCTCCGGGACCTCCGGGACCTTGTCTTCCCTGACCTTCTGGACCTCCGGGACCTCCGGGACCTTGTCTTCCCTGACCTTCTGGACCTCCGGGACCTCCGGGACCTTGTCTTCCCTGACCTTCTGGACCTCCGGGACCTCCAGGGCCTTCATTTTCTTGACCTCCGGGGCGACGTTCAGGACCATCCTGAAGAGGATAGCACCAACATGTGGCAACACAGGAGAGCGCCACTAGTACCAGGAAAGTCTTCATATTGAGAGTGATGCTCATGTCTCGACACAGCACAACTTTTATACACTTCCAGTCCTACACCAGATGGCTCCTCATTACATCGTAGTAATTACTACTTGGAACTGTGTTATTCTTTGCATTGTCACCGAGATAAGTTTGCTAATTAAAACGTGACTTACCGGTTAAAGATATGTATTGCTCATTGTGTAGATATCCTTAACTGGACAAAGACCGAACTGGACATATGCTATGATTAGCATGTTAGACTGCAGATAGGACTTCGGTGATTAAAGCGTCACGTTTCAATCGACGTATAATTTTCTTATTACATAACCTAATGTGCACCTGTGACATAAGAAATTAATTTTTAAAAATATCCTTGTTGAAATATTGTATACAACGAGACAAATTCTAAATTACATTTCATCGATTTAAACAGATGGTGCTGTGAATGAATGGAGCTTGTGGGTGGCTTTTTCTGCTTATGGTCATTTAAAAAGGCATATTTCATTACATACTCGAAATAATTACTTCTAACATTTCAAAATCTGTCCTATTCTTAAGGCAAATTCACAAAATACCATACAGTGTACGACTGCCAATGCCCAAGTGCAAGTATGGCAGGGTAAGAAATTGGGAACTTGTGGTTTGTAAAGACTTACCAGTGAAGAAACAGGTTATTTTGAAGTTTGTAGAGGCAACGTAGACAATTTCGGCGGTTACAGTTTGTACAAAACCCCATCAGATGCAAATGGACCTCATTCTATGATCAACAGAGTCGATCAAGTATCATTAGTGGTCAATTTAAAAAAAAGTCGACAGAAGACATTCCTTAATCATAAGAAATCTCTACTAAAAACTAAAAGCAGAGTCGATCCCGACCACATCATGAGCATGTGTTTATTAATCACTACAGTGATCATATCAGGTTTTCGAAAAGGTGTACGGGTCCGGCCACACCCTTTGCACACGTCACAAACACGTGCAAAGGCAAGTCAGATGTTCACTTGAATTGTATTGTGTAACTAATGCGTCTCATTTGGAAATGTCCTGATGTCTACCATAAAATTATTTGAAAGCTTATCTGAGACCATGAATGTTGTAACCCTGATCAAAGAACTTTTAAGTCATATGGCGGTCTTTGAAATCTTCATAGAAATAGCATGCTCGATTGTTCCTCACAAATTGTGATACACAATTTTCGTAGATTTGTCTAAAGCCTTTGATTCTGTTAGCAGAAATAAATTTATGGTCATATTTCAAAGCACATGTTCTTAGCAGTAAAATTGGAATGTTAATGTGCTGTATGTATCAGAATGTAAATCTATGTCAGAAGTGTTTGGTCCGACTTGGCCCGGGCTGTCAAAACCAACTTAAACCTCACAGATGTATCATCAAATGGATTCACATCTATAGATTGGTATTATATCCACCTAAATACCACTTTAAAGTATCTCAGATCGCGGTATATAAAGAACAGAAGGGGCTCAAAGTGAAGACTTTTTCCCCCTACATTCTCAACATAGTCTTTATCAAAAGTGTTTGGCATGTGTTGGGTCCGACTTGGCCCAGGCGGTCAAAATCAACTTTAAAAAGATGCCGTAACATCATTCATTGGGCGTAAAAGACAAAGAGTGGTGAAAATGAATGGATCACTGAAAACACCAGGTGTTCGCGGTAGGGGTGGGAATGACCGATCGCAACCGCCATTTAAACAATTCACGTGAAAAAAGTAAGTGCATTATTGAGAACACTTCAACAGAAATTTAAGAATGTACCACTTCTTGTAATTATCTTATTTAAGGTTTTACGAGTTACGAGAACTAAAGAACGTTTTCAATCAAGCTCCTGTAAAGTGGTATTATCTGCACTTGAAGTCAGGTCTCCGATGTAGTTACTCTAGGATATTGTGGACGTTATGCCATTATCATACACAATGCATCAAATATTTGACTTAACTGCTGTGACTTCCCCTTTCAAAGGTTCAGATTGATCACAAACTATCCTCGAGGCTGTATGACAAGAGCGGGGACTTGAGTGAGTGAGTTGGGTTTAACGCCGCTTTAACAGTATTACTGTTATATCGCGGCGTGTCAGCTTAATGTGGGAGGAAAGCCTGAAATGATGCAGGTCTCAGACGTTTACCACTTCGGTGAAACCCACGAGCACGGGTATAGTGCTAACAAACCTAGAAACATAATCGGGGCGAACCGGCATTCGAACCCACAATCATAGGTTTCTGGCGTGCCCAAGTGGGTTCAACTCTGCTCAGCATATCGCGGCGCTTCAGACGACTGTGCCACCCGTGCCCCCATGGTGACTTGAAACAACTCCAGCCCTTGATGTCTACAATTCACAATAGAGCAAGCTTTTTCTATAAAGATAACCTGAGCGTCATACGACTCTTGCTTTAAAGGTGTTTGACATTCCACATCTAAGTAAAGCTATCAGAGGGTTTAACAGTTGAAATATGGAGAGGATTATTAAATTTGACACACAAGTTACCAAAATGATGCCTCTTGGAATTTCCTGCTTTGACTCTTTGCCGTATGTGTATTTTCTGCCTGCAATTTCATGTGGATGTGACTGGTCCCTCAGGTGAGACAGGACACGCTCACCTTTTAGCGAACCCCTTGTATCACTATTGATGGTGATTCTTATGATACGGAATCGTACAATGGACTCTGCTTTTAGCAATTGAAAGATTTCTTATGGTTGTGATTTGTCATTTGTCATTGTCTTATGATTATGCAAAGGGTGTTGTTATCAAGTCCGTCCGTCCGACCGTCTGTCTGCTGTCCGTTTTACATGTCCAGAGCAGAACTCCTAAACCTTTGGTGATTTGTCTTTGACATTTACGATACAAATGAGTCGAATGGTGAAGTGCCTTTTGACAATTGGCATGTTTTGTAATATTACTTTATGTTTCACGATGACAAGTTGGACCTCACTGAAAATGAGGGTAGTGCTCGTTTCTTTAGCAGAATTCCCAAACCGTACAATATTGCTTGATGAAACTTGCTATACAGATCAGTCTAGCGGTGAACTGGTGCCTTTTGATGATTTAGGATATTGAAAAATACTGAGCAGCATCGTTTTTACTTCTCTGAACTGAAGGTATCTAATGACAATTAAGCAAATGTGGGGTATAAGTAGCCAAACTCCATTTCCGATTTGCACCAAAAAGGGGGGAATATTTCATCACCTGATGGCTCTTTAAAAAATAATTTGTAAGTGATATGAAAAGCGTCAATCAGCACATCCGTCAAATTTTAGCTCGTGCTCGCACTGACGACGATGAAGTGCAATAAATTATAATATTTTAATTGTGCCTATAAAGTAAAGTTTTGTGAGCATTTTTATCAATACCGATACGTAGAAAAATAAAAATATCCAAATCGAGCATCATTTCAGGAATCTAATTGTTTTGTAAATATGGTCGTATCTGAGCATGTTTTCAAAACTTTTAACGACAAAACTCAATCAACATGAAACTTATTAAAAGTTTCCTGTGGGTATCGATTCTGCACGCAATCATTTGACCTAAGTAAGAATCATCGACCAGTGAATATTCTGGTAGAAAATAGGCCTTCAGCAACCCATGCTTGTCGTGAGACGCGAATATGCTTGTCGCAAGAGGCGACTAAAAGGATCGGCCTAGCTGACTTGGTTGATGCAAGTTATCGTACCCTAATTGCATAGATCGATGTTCTTGGTGCCATTCACTGTATTGTCTGTTCCAGATGTAATTATTTACAGAGCACCATCATATGTATGTTTATCAACCCGTGTTTATTGTTTCGATAAAATACTATCGACTAGCCCTATCTCGATTTGGGAAAATCTAATCTACCTTTCAATTCAAGACAAATATACTTAAGTCAACACGAAAATAGTTCCTAACGCACGTTTCAGTTGATAACAGTTAAACATAATATTTGGCTGTTTCGGAATGCATTCATACAACGTTTGCAGAATAATTGCATTATCGATTTCCTTTGCATCTGTTTGTGACTGGCGTCTTTCGAGGACAGCTGATATTGTCCCTATCAGTGGAAATGGAATGTTATTTAACAGCGTATTTACACATACTGACTTAACGTTTGTAAAGTCGGGTGTCTAGCCGGGAGCGCCACATTTCAGAAATGGCTATTGCCGGTAGGGCCACATTTCCAGCTGAGTGCATTTCACCTATTCTAGCGGGTAATTAATTAATCCGATTACCGATACCTTTAAATGAGTGTCCCACATTTAAATTACTAAGCGTGGTGTTCTTTAGAGATACCTTTAAATGAGTATCTCACATTTAAATTACGAAGCGTGGTGTTCTTTAGAGATACCTTTAAATGAGTATCTCACATTTAAATTACTAAGCAAACGCACAAGTTCAAATAAAGTTCATTGAAAGTGTCAGAGGAGGTGTTGTCGTGATCATAATCATAATCAAAAAAATGTTGGATAAATCACACGTACACTGGATCCCCGGAGTGGATAAATACCTTTTCCAGGCGGAATAGTATACCTGTTACCTTCATTTGAAATCGTTGTGCTTAAAGCGATCTAGTCTCATCTGATTCACACAAAATACCTGGATTATTTACACACAACAAGGGATTCGATTCGAATTGGATACCCAAGCCGGCCGGCTGGCCGCCATTTTTGATCCGGCACCCCCGAGCGCTACCCCCAGGATTTGCCCACGGGCTAGATAAGTTCTCTTACCATCTCCCGTATCCCTGTAAATACTTTCCTTTCACTTATATCAACCCCATTTTTTGTATTATTATCCTTTGTGCTATTACTAGTACTCTATGCCATGTAAATACTTGTATATAAATATTTTGTGTATTACCATTACCATCATTCACCCATCGCCCACCCTCTCTATCGAAATGGACCCCTCCTACTCACCAAACATGGAAATTACATCCCCCCTACTCTCCACATCCATCTT